CCGTGTACAAATTACGTAAGAACTATTTTCCGAAATTTTAACCCACCCCCATTCGTAAGAATATTTGCATACATTAGCGCCATTTTTTCTAATGACCCTAAGGAAAATTTGGACCCCCCTCCCACCTTAGAGCCTTACGTAATTTGTACACGGTCCCTTTGCCGTTTGAAATCGATTGTTGCATTATATTAGGTCATCTTCCACTCTCAGACAAAAGGTACGATTTCCTAATTGGTTTTTAAACCTCTTATAATGGCTATTTAATAACAGCTAAATTTGAGCAGACGTGAGGATTATTACCGGAAAAGCAATAGTTCAGTCTGATATTCTCTGCGCTTTAAACAACATGCAAATGTTAAGTGTCAAGTGTAAAGGAAGTGTGAAAAAAATTATTAATAAATTTTAACTATTTTCGGGTTTACATAACAAGAACGTGCGCCTGTGTGTGTGTGTGTGTGTGTTATGAAGTAACAAGAATTCATTAAGTGCTAAGAAAAATTATTTATTGTTATCAGTAAGATAACTTTTAGCGGGAAAACAACTGGCTTTTGTGCTCCAATTCATGCGAGAAATATCAAGAAAAGATACAATTTTTTTCTTACAACCGTATTTAAAATGACGTCCAGAGCCCAAAAAATAATTAACATGTGCAACGTAAGTGTAACGTTTAAACATTCATAATAAAAAAAGTACCAATGGAAGTTGATTCGTCTTATTCAGGACGATGCTGAAGTACGCAACGTATATAATAACGTTCCTTTTAGTCCTAGGAACTTTAATTATTATAAATAAATAAAATTGTTTTTTATTTAAAAAAAAATTTTAAATTATAATTTCTACCAGTTATTATTAAGAGGCGCATGATTATTCCCGAAATCTTTTCTGACCAAATAATAATTTGACATAAAACTACTTAACTTAAAATTCACATAATATGAACATTATTTGTCATAAATTTCATTGCACACAAAAACCATGTAACATAAATATCATTTGTCATAAAATTCATTTAACACAAATATTATGTTACAAAAAACTCCTCTATAACTTAATTCCCATTTGACATAAAAATAATGTAACAGAAATTTCTTTTAACATAAAAATCATTTAACCTAAATTTCTTTGATATAAAATTCATTTAACGTAAATTCTATTTGTTATAAAATGTATTGTACATAAAATTCATTTGACATCAGTTTCATTTGGCATAAATGTCATTTAACGTAATTCTCATTTGATACAAAATCCATTTGACATAAATATCAGTAGACATAAAATTCGCTTGACGTAAATTTCATTTGGTATAAATCCCATTTGCACTCAGAAAAAAATTTGTTCGAAACAACCAAATTTTGGTTGAATCAACCAAATAAATGCATTGCTATACAGTCAACCAAACGTTTGTTTCATTCAACCAAATAATTTCTTCCAATACGTTTATTTGTATTAACCAAATGGTTATTACACTTAACCAAAAATTTTTATTTAATATAACTAAAAAATTTGTTTATTTTAAGAGAGAAGATTTGTTTGATTAAAATAAATAGTTTTAGTAAACGTATTTGGTTCATTTAAATAAATATTTTTGTTTGCTTAATTTTGTTATTTATTTTCCTCTAATAATATTTGAATTTCCTAATTTAATATTTTCTAGTACATATTATTGGTTAATTTATTATATACTTATTGATATTTTAAAATTATACATATAATAAATCATAAATTAACCAATAATATGTGTACTAAAAAATATTAAATTAGGAAACTAAAACATTATTAGAGGAAAATAAATAACAATTAAGTAAAATATTGTATATTTCTTCATATAAGCATTTTGCTTATATTACATTAAACATATTATATAATTTTTATTTTTATACATGCACTTAGAAAAAAGTTTACTCGAAAGTTTTTTTTTACTGAAAACTTCACAAAATCTTTCTGTAAATATTCTTCTCACTGGTACAAATTAAATATTCAGTAAGTCTAAAATGAACACAATGTATTTATTTAACCGACACTTATAATTTTGTTTCTTTGTTTTACCGATTTAACTAATAAATTTGACGCGAACGCCGACTGTAGACAAGTGAGATCGCCATTTTTAAATTCACACATGTACTTTTTGAGACAAGCAAATATTTTTGTTTGACTCAAATAAAATGATTTGGTAAAATCAAACAAATTTGTGTGTTGTGTCGAACAAATTGTATTTAACTAAACAATATTCTCTATTCAAAACACAAATTTGGTTAAATGAAACAAACAACTTCTAATAAAAAATTTCTTTTCAATAACGAAACAAATTATACGTATTTATTAAAATGAACCAAATTTTTACTTAAATCAACAAAATTGTTTTATCGTGACAAATAAAATAGGTTAATTAAACAGTTTGGTTAAGTGAAATAAACTTTTTCTCTGAGTGTGACACAAAGTTCACTTGATATAAATTCTATTTGGCGGATAAGTCATTACACATAATTCTTATTTGACATAAAATTCAGTTGTCATAGAGTTCATTTTACAAAGATCATTTGACATGAAAGTGTAGGCGCGAATTTCAAAATTGTCGAATCACAATGTTGTTGATATTATCTAATTGGTTACTTTTAAAATTCGCGCCGATATTTTTATGTAAAATGTAATTTGGGTGAAATGATTTTTATGTCAAATGAGAATTTTGTTAAATGCAAGGAAAAGTAGCAAAATCTATTATTCTTAATTGACTTCACCAAAATATGAAACGCGCATTCAAAAGAGTGAGAGAGTACAACAAATCAGTAGAAATTTCTATTTTACTGAATTGATTTACTATCACTCAATACTTCACTTGAAAAGAAGGTTAGGTTTTGTAAACTTGACGTTAAACATTGAACACTTGAAAATTTCTTTCATTTACTTCAATAAGAGAATTTTTTATTTTATCGTAGCACTGTGCGTTTTCAACCATATTTTCACTAGTTTTAATATTTCATTTTAATAATTTAGCACTGAAATCACATTGAAATTCACACGACGCAAAAAATAGCTGTCACTGCGTTTTATTTTAAGACAATAACTAGAGGAGCTCCTACAAATAATTGGAAATTTTTCAAATTGTTTGTCAAAAGTTCTATTCCTCTTAATGCGTTTCTAAAATTCGAAGCAGTCAATTGAAAAGAATAAACAATTTCTATTCGTTTGAATTGACTACGTAGAATCGCTTAAAGTCAATTGAAAAGAATAGCTATTTCTTATTTTTTTTAATTCGCTTTTACAAGATTTACTTTGTCGATTCAAAAGGATAGGATTCTGTATTTTTTTAACGTTGAGAAGCAGAAAATTTTGCGCATTCGAAAAAATACAAACTTTTAATTCTTTTTTATCATCTCATTGACACGAGCAATAGAGAAGAATTAATTTTTCTGATATTTTGCTGTTCACAGAGGAATTGGGTTTTTTTGAAATTCGCCTATTCAGAAAGATTAAAAAATCCTCGTTTAACAGAATATTTCTGGAAATTTAATCTTTTTCTATTCCTCGCTTCTTACCGGGTTTTATGTCAAATGAACTTTACGTAAAATGAAATTTATGTTAAATGAGAATTTCTGACCCATTATTAATATTTGTTGAAAAACATTATCTTAAATAAGAAAAGTATTATTGATTTTATTAATTACTGTTATTCTAATATTATTATCATAATATAATGTATTTCGTTTGTAAACATTTATGCGTAAAATTTATATATATCATTTTATTTTCTAAAATTTTTTATAAAATATTAGATAACTTTTTATGTCAAAATTTTGTTATTCAATTGCAATAATAAACCCTATGTTCGTAAAGTACATTGGTTTGTTATTTTAATTGTAAATATTCAAAATATTAAAATCGACTTTTTTTAAGATTTCAATCGAGTTTTTCGACTTTTTTCAAGATTACAATTGACTTTTTCGACTTTTTTCAACTACAAAAGTCGATCCGAGGCCTGCAAATGAATTTTAGGACAAAATAAAATTTATTAAATGTATATTATGTCAAATGACGTATATGTTAAACAAATTTTACTTTCAATTAATTTTCTGTCAAATAACACTTCTGTCAATTGAAATATATGTTAAGTGATTTTTATGTGAAATAAAATTCAAGTCAATTGCATTATTACGTTAAATGTAAATTATGCTAAATGATTTTTATTTCAAATAAAACATATGTTGAATTAATTCTATGTCAAATGACATATATGTTATATAAATTTTAAGTCTAATGAAATATATAATAAATGGATATCATATTAAATGCCATTTCTGCAATATAAATTGTATGTTTAATGAAATGTGTGTCAAATAAGTTTCAAATTAAATGTTTTTTATACCAAATAGATTTTTTGTTAAATGAAATTTATGGTAAATGGTTTTATGCCAAATGACTAATATGTCAAATAAGATTTCAGGAATAGTCATGCGTCTCATTATTAAGTTGGTCGGAGCAAATAGCAGGAATTATTTATTAATGTTTTCATTTAGGTAAAATGTTTTCAATAAATTATCTTCATAATAACATAAAACCCGTCGAAGACTGTAACTTTGCTAGTGTTTTGAATAAAAATGAAAGAAATAACAAGCAGTGTTAAAACAAAGTTCTGAATTTTTTAAAAAAATACAAAAGGTTTATTTATAAATATTCTGTGGTTCACCTCTAGATTTCAGAGCCCGCCAAAAAACTGCATAAAAAATAATTATAGTGTGTCCTAGTAATGAGAAAAAATGCGGTTTAACATTTAAAAAAACAAAAAATAATTTTACCTGGATATATTTATATATTTTATTCTTTGTGTTTTTTAAGGAAGAGAAAAAAAAAGATAATCACGTATGACAGCGTTAAAGAAAAGAGTAAGAAGTTGCTTAAAGTTCAAGTAAGTTTCTTTAAAACAATAGTGTGTACAAAATTACTATTAATAGACCTTGTTATGTAATTTAAAAATTCTTTCATTTTAAATATTTCATGTATTTTAGAAATGGATAAATGATAATTCCATGGATGTGTCATCTGAAAATGAGTCAGGAAACGTAAGAAGAAATATCAGCAATGATACATTATTTAAAAAGCAAGATGAGAAAATCGAAAGCTGTGCATTGGATAAGTCATTAGGAGAATTCGTTGAAGATCCATATGAATTTCAGGAAAGCGATAGTGAAGTTGGTACAACTCAGAACATAAGTATTGGCGAGTTAATAAAAAAATATGATGTAGTAAAGGGTGCTTGTATTCTGGACATCACAGTGGAAGAAAAAGTCGAAAAATCTTATGAAATTTTGGAAACCAGTAAAATAGAAAATAATCTGTCTATGAGCATTGTAGAAAATTCAAATTCATCATTTGAAAACGTAAGTGAAAAAGTTACTTGATTTATTATTTCTGATAAAAAATAATTTCTTACTTTTTGCAGATGTCTGTTAATTCGTTTGTGATTCTACAACAGAATAATATATCTTTGACAGAGGAAAATAAAGAGAAACATCTAAAAAATATGCCAATAACACCCGACGAGAGAACTACACCTAATGAAAATAAGTCAATAACACCAGACATTGACAGTAACAATAACGACTTTAGTTCAATGAGTTTTGAAACAATTGATGATGATCGGGATAAGGATTTTATTTTAGACAATTATTTAGAAACAAGTTCTTCATCAGGTTCGTTTATTGATGATGGTGCTGTCAATATTTGTCATGGTAAAAACGTTGATAATAAGATTGATAACACTGAAAATCTTACTGTAAGTAATATAAAAGAACAAATTCTGTCACGTGAGAATGATCCTGAAGTTATGGAGGTAAAACATTATATTTAAATTTAAAAACATGATAAAACATTTTGTAATTTAATTCATATTGTAGGTAAAAAGAGAAAATAAGTTATCATGGTGTCCATTTTGTTCCGAGGATGTTTTATCAAAAAACTATGTAAGGCATATGAAAAGGATGCATAAAGAAGAAAAGGAAATCAAAAGCTTGCTTAGTTTACCAAAAAAAACTAAAGAAAGAAGGATGGCTTTTGACTCATTCAGAAAACAAACAAACTTTGATTTATATATAAATGGTACGGTTAGACCACAGAGACAAACAACAGATTTCAAATTATCAGCCTTTTATCCCTGCATTTACTGTAAAGCGTTAATAAAGAAAAGTTATTTGACACGTCACTCCCTAGTTTGCAGTAAAAAAGGGCTTAAAACAAATGCATTTAATCAGGAGAATCACCGCAATTATTTAACGGATTCACAAACTTTGACAGCTTGCTCTATAGATCCAACAAATGTCATATCTAGATTAGCTGTGAAAGAACAGGTTCGTGCAACACGCTTTACAATTTAAGTTTTTAACATTTATGTATAGATAAAAAGTGAAAAAAATGTTTTTTAATTGATTGTCGAATTTTAAAATATTGTTTGACATTATTAAATAATATAACCTAACATGAAATAAATGTAAAAGATAACATATTTTATTTTCAGGTTTTTAATATAATGAAAGCAGATAAAATAGCATTTGAAGCTAAAAAAGATCTGCTAATTGTTCAGTTTGGAGATAATTACTTGAAAAAGCACAAAAGGGAACGAAAGGAATATGCGTGTAGCAATAGAATGCGCGAACTTTCGCGACTTTTAATTGCCTTCAGAGAAACAGTAAATGACAATTCTGTTTTCTTTAAAGATTTAATCAAACCACAAAATGTGGACCAAATTCTCACAGCCGCACGAAAAATTTCAGGCTACGATCCAGTAGAAAGAACATTTAATGCACCTAGTCTGGCAACACATATGGGCACATATTTAAAAGATATGTGCTGTTTGCTAAAGGCATTAATCTTAAAAGGTAGTTCAGGATTCTGCATTTCAAATGAAGAAGAACGTGAGAAAAGGTTAAGAGAGTTAAATCATTTCAATGATGTCATTACTTCTAGTTGGAACAACGAAATATCTTCTCTTGCAAACAAAGATTTGCAAGAAAAACGTTGGAATAAGCCGTTGCTGGTACCATTAGTAAGTGACATAAAAAAATTCAGGGACGAAACTCTGAATCTTGCTAAAGAATGTGAAGAAAAATTTAAAAATTGCGTGGACGATGTTGTAACTTACAAAACATTCGTCCATTGCGTATTAGGTTTAGTTATTCTTTTCAATAGAAGACGAATTGGGGACGTTCAATATTTAAAAGTACAAAATTATGAAAGGGAATCAAGATCGAATTTCACAGATTTTAAAAAAGCGTTAACTGACTCTGAAAATGCCTTAACTACAAAATACAAGCGAGTCGTGAATAGTGGAAAGGGATCAAGAGCTGTAGTTATTCTAGTGCCGGAATTGCTACAAAAATTAATCAAAATTCTATTAGAAGAAAGAAAAAAATATATTTCTCTTGAAAACAATTACGTATTTGCTATTCCTGACAGTAAAATTAAATGGGGTCAAGGTGATGTGGCAATTCGATTCTTAACTAAAAGAATTGATTTACAATATCCAGAGGCAATGTCGAGCAATAAGTTAAGAAAACAGATCGCAACTGTTGCTCAAATATTAAACATGTCCAAAGAAGAATCGCGCCAATTTTCCAAGTTCATGGGTCATACTGAGAAAACTCACGCTGAATTTTATGAGTAAGTAAATAATTTAACAAAATTTTTACTGTGTGTAACTTTAACTTTTCAATAATTGTTTGTTAAAGTCTCTTAATTGTTTTTTCTTGTAATTAAACATATAATTAATTAATTAAAATTAATATTTATATTAGTCAATAATTAGTTACTTTTATTTTAAGATTGCCAGTTGACTTATATCAGACAGCCAAAGTTTCCAAATTATTAATGTTAATGGAGAGAGGATCATTGCCAGTGGAGTACCAAGGAAAGTCTTTAGCAGAAATTGATTTCAATGCAAATTTGGAATACGCTGAAGAATGCGCCGAAGGTGAGAAACACATCTTATTGTATTGATTTGCAATGGCTCATTTTGTCAAATTGGTTACAGATCATGCAGGTGAAATCTCAGAACCAATCGATACTGAAACAATTGTCAACAATGATGCATCTTCCAGTACTGCTCAAGATTATGAAAAAGGTAAAATTATAAACAAACCTATAAATCATGGTAAACAAAACATAAAAAATATAAACAAAACAGAATTTCTTTTATTTTTTATATAAACTTTTTTCTCCAAGTAAAATTTTACTTTTTTACAAAAGAAAATAATAATTGAAAAAAATTTAAAAATTGGGAAAATAATATTTATTCTGTAAATATATAATTTTTCTTCCTTTTAAGCACAAGAACCAAAGTTATAAAATAGATTATAAAATCAAATAAAAAAAATATCGGTAAAAGAACAATTAAAATGACACATTATAAAAAATCACCAACTAATTTATATATATTATATATAACTTTTCAGATTTGAACCTAAACCTTCATGAAAATATCACTTCTTGTGATGTTACAGCACCAAAAAAACGAAATAATAAAAAATCTGGTAAGTAAAAATAATGCAATATTTCTTTTCATCTAAACTTGTCAGTCATCTTCGTAAGGAGATGTAAAGTGTACCAATGTAAAAGCTTTATTTTTTGCAGGTTGGTCAAAAAAAGAGTTGGAATCAATCAATATTCATTTCAACAAATTTGTTAAAAATGGAAACTATCCGTCTTCAAAGGATATGAAGGCATTTATCGCAGAAACAAACAGTATTCGAACTGTAGCACAAATAAGATCTAAGATTCAGCATTTAATTGGAAAAATTAACAAATAATCTTAATATTTTTATTTTATCGCAATATTTTATCTTTGTTAAAAAGTTTCATTTAATTTCAATAACGATTAACATTTTATAAATTGAGGAGTAATTTTTTATTGAATCCAAATAGTATTAATTTATAAAAAAACATCTACTTATTAGTATCAATAAGAATATAAATTTCATTAATGATAATTAGATATAAGTATTCGATTTTGTAAAAAATTATAATTAATGTATTCAGTGAAAAAAAACTTTAAAAATAACTCTTGAATTTTTTATCAGTAAATAAAAAATACTTTTCCAATAAAATATATTTAATATTTATTTAATATTTAATAATATAAAGCAATTCAAAATATTTTATAAAAATGAATACTGGTAAACACAAAAACTTCTTAGCAAATTTTAATTAACTATCCAAAAAATTAAATAATTTATCAACATTCTTTAAATAAATAACTGAATTTAAAGTAATTTATTAAAAAACCTAAATGATTAACAATTAAATACAAAAATTTTAAATTATTAAATTGTAAATAAAAAAAGTTATACATTTAAAAGTTAAATAAATCGAGATTCTTAGTGATTCTAAAGTACCTAGATCTTATAGCCTTAGTGTTAAACTCAACATAAAGCATAAGAAATACGTCACACCTCCCTAATACCTGTGGCAACAACGCTGGAGGTGAGTACGTATAGAAATTAACGCGCTTCCAAATATACAAGGGAGGTCTCATCGTTCATGTTATACTTACAAAATGTATATTTAAAAAAAATAAAAAATCATTACCCCTCTCTTGAAAAACGTGTTTAATGGGTCCTCCTTAACACATATATACAAGAAAAATTTTAATATTTCCATGGGAAATAGTGGAGGCGAGAACGTAGGACACACTACACGGAGGTGACAGCGCACAGCCTATACATATATATATATATATATATATATGTTTATTTAATTACGTAAAACTATTAAATTGTCGTAATTAATTAATAAGTTCGAGTTTGTTCAAATCGCATAATTCTTTTCTTTCTTCCTATTATTCGTTCACACATACCAATGCAATATACTCATTCGCACCTTCGCGGTGGGGATGCTTCAATTCGGTTGCACTTGACCGTGATCGCGTTAATCTCATTAGTATAGTTTAGATACGCGTCGGTTTGACAAGTTAATAATATGTGCACGTGCGGTCAAGTGGGTGTGGTGCTTCTTGAATTCTCTTTTGGATGTTACAGCGTTACAATGGGTGTAATCGGCAAGATATTGGCCGATGATCGATCGGTGAGTGATATAATTATCATACAAATTTGCTTAGTGTAAAAAAAAATAAAATTCAAGATTAATAAATTTTAACCCTTTGAAACACCCCTTAAGAATAATAGTAATGTGTTGTTTTAATAATACTATAATGTTTATTTATTATTATTATTATTCATTTATTGTATTTATTTTTATGAGTGAAAGTGATAAAACTGTTAGATTTTTAATTTTATAGAAATTCCTATTCGATATATGTAATATTAAAAGCACACATACTAATTGTGTCCATACCTATATTATTATTTAAAATTTTATTTATTTGTTTTTGTTTCGTTTTGTTGTGTTTTTTTTTTTTTTTTTTTCTTTTTTTTTTTTAATATAATTATCCCATGATTGAAATTTTACTTGATTAATTAATCCCGCTTTTATACCGTATGGTTTATACCCATGTAGATATATATACGTATATATATATATATACATATATATATCACTATAATAATTATGACGTATCGTCACCCATATATTATTAATTATTTATTTTATTATTATTATTATTATTACATTAATTACCATATAATTATTATAATAATATTACAATGATACAATAAGTTACATATATGTACATACATACATATATATACATATATACACATATATATAACAATTATATAGCAATCACGTCCATATCAATATACTAATATTACGAAATATTAATTAATTGAACACATCACTATATTTGGAACAAGTGAGGAAAATCTCATGTATGTTACATTAATGAATTATTTGGCAATGATCAGCAATGATAACGTGTTGACCTAACACTGCTGCAAGCCACGGGCACTCGCCTTCATAAGTTTATTCTTCTGAGAGCGGGTACCTTTGGTTGTGTGGTAGAAGGGAGAACGGGCACTTAAGGGCGCTTCAGTCGGCAGTTAGTGAAATGGCTTTTAGCTCCTATCGGTTAGACCGATGACGAGGTGCCCTTGCTAATGAGATATTATTATTTCATGCCGCAGATTTTTTTTCCTACGTAAATCATTGCTGCTCTTACCTTAATAATTGCACATTCTTACCACATTACGGTTACACTGGTTGTAGTCCTTGTATTGGTAATGTGACAACTGATTTCGGTGATGATAAATATGTGAACTTGGATGTAGTTGGCATACATCCTTCGGATGACTCGTTCTTCTGTGGTATTGATGTCTTAAAGATTTCTTTTGATCCTTGGTCGGTCGGTTGTTTCTCGTCCGATGGTCCTGCAGCAGTTAAGGTTGAATTTGGCACTTTGATACTGGTGAGATCCGTCGGAGGCGTTGTTTCATTGATCTTAGACTTAATGATTTTCTCGTTTACCTCCGGCGGCTGGGGTCGAAAATGGGTCTCAAGTTTGACTTGTCCTCGTTTGGGATTTACAGTGTTTTGAAGGGTATTGACTCCATTTAATATAGGCTTCCTGCAGACATACAGCAGAATAAAGACAACAATTAGGGCCAATCCTCCATATGATCCATAAACTAAAGTGGCCTGTTTGCTTTTAAAATGTCGTTGTATTGCGAAATCCTGTAGTTCTTGTTCCAACTCGTCGAGTGTTTTGGAGTTGGCGTCGAAGTGAGACGTTATTGATTTGGTGTTACTCAATTCTGCTTGTTGTTCTTCTAAGGTCAGAGCTAGGTTGGCGTGTGTGGATACAAGAGGCGAGATTTCTAATAGGTTCAGGTGCAATTCAGCTCCATAAATCAGCTCAGATTGTCCTTTTTGCGCAGGATTGGCTGGAATGGTGACATCTTCGGTTCGCGCAAAACATCCTGGATCTAACTTCATTATTCCGGTTCCAGTTAAATTTAGGTTGATTGGGTTCATAGAATGACAAGAGATAGTGACAATCTCCGGTCCTGCAAAAGAATAGAGCCAGGAGGCCAGTGTTCTTAGCGGTGTCCAGTAAGAATTCAGATTTGATGTTATTCTGATTGGATAGGATTTCATGGCTTCGATAGTTGGTTTAAGGAGAAGCATAGGTTCACATGAGGGTCGTTCGTGAAGTTCGTAGATGGGCACGCCTTCCAGACAAGCATGATAAGCTGCGGTGGTTCGGCAACTTCCCCACTCCTTTTCACTAAGAAACAAGTAAGTTCGCTTTGCGTCATCGACAACGAGGTAGTTGTATTTTGAATTCACGTATGCTCTTTGTTTTCCACTACCTAAGTCCTTTTGTATGGTAGGGAGGGGATGAATCTTGAACGCTTGATAGCGGTACTCCTCCAATAATGGAATATCAATGAGTATCTTTATGTTTTCGATCTCGCACCAAATAGAGGTCGTCGCTATTTTGATTAATTCGTCGATGCTAACCCTAGGACCGGGCAGAGGAAAACGGACTTGCGTTAGGTTGTCCTGAATATCTCGGAGAATAGGCTCCAGTTGTTGTGATGAGATTATTCCTGGGTGTAGTCGACCTTTCCGAGCGTCATGTATTGCATCCAGCATGGTGGATGTAATTCGTATGTTGTGGTCCAGACCTAGTTTTATTCCTGATAAGATGGATGACACTATTCCTCTTCGCATTAATTCCTCTTTTGGTGATACGATGTCATTAATTGTGGATGATAGGTTTCTCAATTTTTGTTCAATCTGTTCAATTCGAGCATCATGATGTTGATACTGAGAGTGGAGAGTATCTAACTGAGATCGAATAACATGGGTCTGCTTCCCTACTAAATGTGAGAGGTTGGTTTGTGCCTCGTTTAGCTCTCTTATTTCGGCGTCGTAGCGTTCCCCGTCGTCGTAATTTAGGACACCGGCCACTGGTCCAGCAATCTTTCCCAAAATTCCAAGTAATGGCACGCTCCGTCTTACTCTCAATTCAAAAAACGTGCTCGAAATAAATCCCACTGCTGACAATTACTGGGGTAATGTCGTACCCTTCTCCATGCATCCGTAGGCTATCCTGATCCTCGAATTTTGCATATGTCATCAGGATGGGAAGGAAATACAGAAACTTCAAGGGCCAATGTGTTGTCATCATTGTTGTATCTAAAACAAATTTTTTTTTTTTTTTTTTTTTTTTATTATAATGA